GGGGGGGGGGGGGGAAGCGATTATTGCGACCGGCGGTGTGCAGCAGAATGAAGGTGCAAAGTAGCAACGGGGAAATAAGTGTGGCCTCACGCGGATATGGAATATGGCGCCTCCTTGCGGGGTCTTATCCCTCGCACAGCGTATCGGCGCTGCAACACGTTGAAAATGATCCATCAGAATGCAACTTTGCAGCTACCTAGCGCTGGTACCCACGCAAATTACTTGTTACTTGTTGCCGCCGTCGTCGTCGTTGTCGTTGTCGTCGTCGTTGTGGATAAGCTGTCGTCGGTGTCGGTGTCGTTGTTTTTGTTGTTGTGGTAAAACATTGAATACTTACTGTTATTGATGTGCTCTTCTCGTCGTCTTAGGCTAAAGTGCATCCGTTTGTGGACCTCCGCGTGGTGTCTTGGCTTCGATTGGTAAACGACAATCAATCGCGTCGAACATCACAGATAGATTCATGATGCGATGTTTCGGACAGTTCGCGGAGAGGTTCGGAAGACCTCCCGAGGTAGCCTGTGTTAGATATACTCGCAGCNCACCACCACCGTCTCTCTCCACCACCACCACCGTCTCTCTCCACCACCACCACCGTCTCTCTCCAATCAAGTTTCCTTCTCCCTCTCTCTCTCCAAACTCTCTCTCAACCTCTCTCTCTCGGTCTAACACGGCCGACTACCCAGTGCCCCAAGTAACGTCCAGAACGTGCTTGCTGCACCCCGCGTAGTTTACCTTTCACACTAGTGCGATATCACGGTATCTGCGCGCGGGCGTAGCCTTCCGGGGGTTGTGCAGCCACGCGCAATCGGTAGACTCCCACAACAACATACACCATGGAGGGCATCGACCTCTCCGCCCTTAGCGGGGAAGAGCTACAGCAAAAAGTGGAGGAGATCGTCCAGCAACGAGTGCAAGCCGAACTCGAAGCCAACAGGATAAACGAGGGTGAAGTCACCTACGCCCCACCACCTGCCGGCAACCCGGTCCCACCTACCGGCAGCCAGCCATCACCCTCCAGCCAGGGTAAAACACCTTCCTTCAACGACCCCAGCAGCGTCGCACACATCGTGGCGCAAGCGGCTATGGCGACAGCTGAGGCCATCGCTGAACAAAAGGGCTTTGCCCGCTCAGGCACGTTACGTGTAAATCCAGGCTCAGAAATCGAACCTTGGCTTGGTAGTGTGAAGAAGGAGCAGGATCTGTACATTATGTTTGATATTTTTCGTGGTAAGATGATTTCATATTTTCAGGAGGAGGGTGTGCACGATGCGTTGGAACTGGAGGTTGAGGTCAAGGTCGGGAAGAGGGGTGTAAATGTAGGAGACCTTCGGAGACTTTTTGGTAATGAAGTGGTAGACAAATCTTTCAAACTGTGGAATATCCTTATCAGCAAGGTTTTGTATCCCCCGATTCAGAGCTTGATTCTGGCGTGTGAGAGTCCTCAAAAAGGCTGGAAAATAGTGACAGAGTTCTATCAGGAGAAAAAGAAGTCAGAAACGTCGAGGTTGGAGCAGGACTGGAAGGAGTTGGAGATGAAAGAGTCCGAGAGTCCACAGGATTACATTGCCCGCTCAGAGGCCCGTCGCCTGCGTCTCGCATCTGTAGGCACGATTAAGGATGAAACAGATGCCGACAAAGACATTGCTCGTGGCCTTCCCTCTTCGTTGTATGCCGTGCAAAAAGGAATACTGCTTGCCCATGATGTCCTGACGTTGCGTA